ACAGGAGTCAGTAGAATCAGCAGGATCACAATTGCTACAACAGGCCTTGCAGGGGTCAGTTTGAGAGAAACCTCTATTGCCAATATGGTGAGGGGATGACAGAGAACATGGGGGGGGTCACCACCATATGAAGCAGGGACCTTGCACAATGATGAAGTCAGTGTGGGCAGATGGGTGCTAGCGACAGGAGGGAGATGAAAGGAGACAGGTCACCACTCAGATGAAGTGGGAACAGCCCCTGAGACATAGGGTTGAGGGGGCCTCACCAAACAGGAGCAGTGTCACAGGCAACACTGTGAGGATGGTATATAACCATGCTCCTTGTCATAGCAAATGAGTGGATCACCATCCACTCTACACCATACATTACTAGCTATAACTTCACATAGATATACTTAGTATTCAGTCAGCAAAGAGTTGCAATCACAGGTAGATTGCTTCCATTGTAGCATGTGTGTTGTATCACTGCTCACTGACATCCAAAGGTGGTTCTTAGTAACCAGCAGTCCAGATAATGATTAGAACCAAAGGTAGTTGTCCACTGTGGTCCAGGGATCACTTCAAGCAATCAGTCAACACACTGGACACTTGTGTTGGCATCAACAACATCATTCACACCAGACCTTAGTGTCTTCACAATACATTCATTGTTATTGATCATGCCAAGCTACCTCTGGACAGAGTGTCCACAGCAGTTAGTCAAAATCCATGATAACTTTCAGTTACAATCTATCCAAGCAAGAAAGGTCCTAGAAGGCTTCTATGGCAGATTCCAGCAAGAATATTAATAGAAGGCCTTTACAATAGATTTCGCCAAGATTGATTGTAATCAACTTTTACCACAGAGTTTGGGTTTCAGGCACACAACCACTGACAGTCAGCATTAAGACCACTCATGCCAAGGCAGATGTCAACCTCCTCTATTTGGTATAGACACAACAAGTCCACTTTAACCTTCCAAACGTGCCGCATAGCCTCTGAATGGAGTGTTCACAGCAGTTAGTCCAAACCTACTACCACATGGCCTTACAGCATATCTCATGGAAATCAATCATAAGGAAAACCTTTCTGCACCTTTTGGGGAAATCAGTTATATTAGGTTCTTATAACAGTTTTCAGGTTTCTGGTGCGCAACTGCTTACACACTGCTATCAGACATTGTCAACACCTCAATGAATGCTATGGAACCTCCACCATAGGCAGAACCTCAACTGCAGTCCTGGTACCATCATCAAACCCATCCATGACTGTCAGAGCATTACAGGCACTTGTGCAATGACAGGTGTCATCCTTCTATAAAGTAATCCAAGGACTCTGAATGTGCTGCACTACCTCTGGACAGAGTGTTCACAGAGACAAGCCAAAATCCACCAGAAGATAGCCTTCCAGCATATCTCACTGAGATCTGTCAGAAGAAGCTCACTGTAAGCGGTCGCGCGCCAGAGACTAGCTGGGGTTGATTGAGTAAGGACTACTCGATATGATTCACCTAAACATAACCAAGCGTCGTCGCCTAGTAAGTCTCAACTGACTGCCTTAAACACTCCATTCAGAGGTTGCATGGCACGGACGTTGTTTGTTGGTGAGTGCATGATACACCCTCCCCTACAGTATGAGTGTTCGTAGTACTGTTGATAATGCTCTTGGATGTCATCTGGACTGCGATATGCCAATCACCTACAGAGGACGTGAGTTACTGGACCACTGGTGTGAAACACTGCCTACAATAACCGACTGGACTGCTGGTGTCGAGCAACACCACCTACAGCAAGGAACTGGACTGCTGGTGTTGAAGAACACTGCCTACAGTAATGAACTGGACCACTAGTGTGAAGAACACTGCCTACAGTTGTCAACTAATGGTGATACAACACACATGTTGAGAGTCATTGCAAGAGCACTGCTATTGCGAAGATACGTAACCTAGTAAGTATAGAGTAAGTAGTTGAGTTTCAGAGTGGATGCCAGTCCACTCAAATGCTATGGTAGAAAGAGAGTATTTATATGTTTGATCAGTGTTTTCCCTCAACACCTATCCTGCTCCTCTTGAGGGGCCTTTGTCCCCTGTTAGGCACTGCCTTGCCCTGCTGGCATCATCCCCTTCAATACTGCACTCCTACCATTTTGCTTGGTGTAAGGGTTATGCAACACTGCCCTCTCGCCTTCATGCTCTCCTTCTGTCTGATGTGTGATGCCCCCTTTCGGCATGGCCCCCTTTTGACTTAATCTTGTGAATCCCCTTTTGAACCTCGTGACCATACCCCCTGGTCATGTGGTCATGTCAGCTCAGTTCCGTCTCGACTTGTTCAGATCACCCGACTAGTTGAAGCAAGCTGATTTGACTGACTCCGACATCGGCACAGCTCCGAATACTTGCTCAGATCAGCCGACTAGTTGAAGCATGCTGATCCGACTGATTCCGACATCGGCACAGCTCTGAATACCTGTTCGGATCGGCTGATTAGTTGAGGCATGCTGATCTGACTGCCTCCATCGTCGGCATAGCTCCAAGTACTTGTTCAGATTGGCCAACTTGTTGAAGCATACTGGTCCGGCTGACTCTGACCAATCCCATGAGATCGATCTGGATTCCCGGGGTTCAATCGATCTCGTAAATCATTTGCACTGCCAACCCGATTAATCTCGTTGATCCCCGATGGTTGTCGACTCTGATCAATCTGGTGCACCCTTCATATGTTGATCTTCTGTGCACCCTTCATATACTGCTCCGTTATGGGACATTATCATAACTGCTGCTGATCATTTGGCGCACTCTCTTGCGCAGGCCAGCCGTCCCTGTGACACTCACTTGACAGATTTCGCCGAAATCGGTGGGATCAAGCTCTTCCAGTTGAAGGGCAGCGTTTTGCGTCGATCAAATCGTGCGTCAAAGTCAATGATCACAGCTTGTGATTGCAATGATAATGCATGCTATCTACAGGACGATGCGACTGTTTATATATTTGTCCAGGCTCTTTGTATGCATATATGAGGTCTAGCATGATGAGGTCAAAAACATGAGTGAGTGCTATAGTGAGGTTACACCAGCTATTTACTGACCAGTGTCTTGTTGTTTGATAATTGATCCAGGTATCATGCTAAACCCAAGTAAGCAAGGCTGGCAATTGGATGTGACCTCGGAGTAGAAGTTGCATAATCTGAGCTAATGCATGCAACTACTCCGAGGTGTCACATGCTTCAACTCTTCCAGCAGATTTCGGGTTTCAGGCGCATGACCTCTTACAGCGGGCTGGCTTGGAACCAGCAAGCCACCTCGCTGACCCGCAATCTGACATGGCTTCTGTATCGATCTCTGTATCTTCCGACTGATCCCCAACTGTGCAATTGTGTGAGTCAGGCTATGCATTAAGGTTGACATGACAACGGCTCAGGAGCTCTGCAGGAGAGACACTCAACTCACCTAAGGCTACTTGATGTTGTCAGAAATGATGTGAAGATATATATATTCATGTTTATAGCCTTAGTTCACTTGAATATGATAAGCATTGCAGTTCCTACACACCTTTACGAAGAGAGCCTGATCGTGGCCTCAACGAAGTGGTGCATATATTTTAACTATATATTTTAACTGGTCCTTATGCATTACAACCTTGAACCCTTCAGTTGAGGGAGATGTAACAATGTAGGAATTCTGGCCAATGAAAATTTTTGCAGCAGTCCCACTCATGCACAAGTGGCGAAAGACTTGGGGATTGTCAGGGGTCTCGCGCCTGAAACCCAGGCCAGTCTGTCGAGATACTCAGTGACTATCAAACTGTGCAACAGCTATTGTCTTGGTACCAGTCTCGATGAGCTAGTCACTCAGCGACTATCAAGTTGCATGATGACAGTGGGTGGCATTCGTTGTATATACTATCATAGGTTTCGGCTGACCTCTGTGGACACTCTGTTCAGGGGTAGCTCAGCACAATCAATATCAATACATAGGTTATGATGACACCAAGGTCTGGTGTGAGTGTTGATGATGATGAGGTTGATGGTGTTGGTGATAAGGTTGGTGGCATCAACACAAGTGTCCAGTGTGTTGACTGATGCTTGGAGTGATCCCCAGACTGCAGTGGACTACTGCCTTCAGTTCTATCTTAATCCAGACCACTGGTTTGCTATGAACTGCCTTTGGACATCAGGTAGTGGTGGTACAACACACACACTACAAGGAGGAGCAACCTTGATAGATTGCTACTATGCTGACTGGAACTAATATATACTTATGCTGAAGTGATAACTAGTTATGATGTGTGTAGAGTGGATGAGGATCCACTCAACCTTTGATGATGAGAAAGTATGGTTATATACCTCTTCACAGCATCGCCAGCATCTTCATCGAGTACTGAACAGGGGACTTCTCTAGCACCTCTCCTGTCCTCCTTGAGCTATCTGCACCCCTGTGCCTCTTGAGCTGTGTCGACTCCTTCGACACTGCTCCTCCTCCTTGCTATCCTGCTTGCTTGGCACCCCTGTGCCTCCTGAGTGGTGTCAACTCCTTCGACACTGCTCCTCCTCCTTGGGACCTGCTTGCCAGTTTCCTATACACTGCTCCTTCTCCTTTGACCGGTGATGGTTCCTTTGACTCTTGTCTCTTGAGCCCCTGAGTGGTAACTGTCTGCATGCTCCTTGAGCTTGGTCCTCTTTGTGGCTGTGCCTGGCCCTCCTCACATATGGGCCCAGTCCTCCTTTGCATGTGAGTCCATAGGAGTCCATGGTCTCCATGGAGACTGCACTATGACCATGCTCTCTACTGGTATCGACTGGATCTCCGATACCTGTGCTCCTTCCCTATGAACCAGTGACCCTCCTGCTTCTTGAGCATTCAGGCCCATGACAGGGATCTCCAGACTTGAGCTTGTACTTAGACCATTATCCTCACAGCAAAATCTCTAACACCACAACTGATTAAGAGTCTGAAGCTCAGCAGCTTCCAGCACTTTGCAGTCAGCATGCCACCCAGGGTATATAGTGTAGCCCTGCTCGAACACACCATGCAAATGATCAGGGAGGCTCATGCTGACTGGAATGAAGACCAAATTTTGGAGCATGCTTTCTCTGTAATGAACCTTCAACCTAATGCCAGCCAAGCAGAAAAGATCCCCAAGTCAGTGCTCAGCATCATCTCACAAATTGTCAAGCTTAACAAGAACAACTGGGCCATCTGGGAGCCCATGTTCATGGACTGCATCTGCCCAATCAAGAATGCCAAGTGCATCCTCACTGGAGAGATTCCTAGTGGCCACACTGACTATGACAAAGAACTAAACAGTCACTTGCTGGGCCTCATCCTGTCCTCCTGTGACCACAGACCTACTAGCTGCATTGACACCTACACAGTGTGGGAGCAAGATGAGGAGGAACAGCTTGGCTCCACACTTTACAGGAAGCTCAAGGCTGCACTCACAATCAATGATGAGGTTAAACTCTCTACTATTCATCACCACATACATGAGATCAAGCTAGTCCACTGCAACATTGTCAACCTTGGTAAGGAACTTGACCAGATCTGGAACAATGCTGCCAGGCTCAGCAGCTGCATGGATGAGAAGCTCAAGAAGTCCACCCTGTACTGCTGCATCAAGGACGATTGGCTCTACACCCAGATGGTAGACTCCCTCAAAGCTGCCCAACCTGGTTGCAGCTATGAGTATGCCTACCATGCACTTGCCAAGAAGCATCAAGAAGCTGAACTTTTGGGCTGCATCCATGCTGCAGCCAGAGTAGCCAGCAATAAGAACACAACAGGCCAAGCCAGTGGGCCCAGACAGATCCTCAACCAAGAAGGCTACAACAGGGGTAGACATGACCCTGCAAACCCCAATGAGCCAGCTAAGTGTTACAAGTGTAGGCAACTGGGCCACATTGCAATTAACTGCACCAGCAGTCAGGAGCAGACCCCCACACAGCAGGAATAGGAACTCATGTGCACTCTTTTTGTCAGCAACACCAACAATCACAACCAAGACAGTACATGGATCCTTGACTCTGGAGCTACACATCACATGGTATGTGATGAAGGCAAGCTCATTGCTCCAATGGCAAAGCAAGGATTCATAGATACTGCTGGGCAAGAACAATTGCAAGTCCAGGCAATAGGTGATGCAACCTTGCAAGTTGGAAATGTTAAGATACCCCTCACAGATGTACTTTACATTCCCAGTCTTAGGAAGAATCTATTGTCTGTCCCAGCACTGACCAAAGATGGTGCATGTGTGATATTTGAAGAGTCTGGAGCCATCATTCTCCAGCAAGATGGAAGCATGGTCAAGAGCAAGACCAACCAGCACAAGAAAAGATGGGAGGTTCATGGTGACTCCCTAGCAGCACAGCTTAATGATCCCCTTGAGGGCATTGATGCTAACACAACACCAGCAGGGCCCACAAGCCACACGATGAGCAAACTATGGCACAAATGATTTGGCCATCCTGGCAGGAACAAGACCAAGCAAATTCAAGCTCATTACTTAGGAAAAGAGACACAGCTTGAACATGACACAAAGGACTGCAACTGTTGCAGTCAAGCAAAGCAAACATGTGCAAGAATGATGAGCAGCAAAACAGAGCAAGCCCAAGCACCCCTGGAACTGGTACACATTGACTTGATGACAGACCTGCAAGGCCATCCCAACTACCACCACACACTGGTAGTTGTAGATGACTTGTCATCCTATGTTTATGTGAAACCACTCCTCAGCAAGGCCAAAGCATTCCCCACTCTAAAGGCATGGATTAAAGCAGCAGAGACAGAAATGGACCACATGCTAAAGTGCATCTGCAGTGATAATGGAACAGAGTGGTCAAGCTTTGCAGCAGAAGAATGGAAGTGAGAGGCAGGGTTCAAGTGGCAGAAAACCACCCCATATGTCAGTGTCCAAAATGGGAGAGCAGAGCATACAACCAGATCCCTTCAAGAAAAGATGCATGCAATGCTTGTCCAAAGATCAGTGCCAAAGGGACTGTGGCCCTATGCCATCATGGCTGCCAGACACACACTGAACTTGACACCCTCTGCCAATGCAAACAGGATTCCATATGAGGACTTTTACCATAAGTCTGCACATGGTTTAGCCAAGCAGCTACATGTCTTTGTCTGCCTTGCATGGGTCCACCTCCCCAAGAAAGATCATGCAGGCAAGCACAGCACAAGAGCCATTCCAGGAATCATGGTTGGCTATGACAACAAGCACAAAGGCTGGAAATTCTATACCCCTGGCCACACCCCATCTATACAGTGGAGCAATTCAGCTATGTTCCATGAAGCCAAAGGTTGGCATGATCAGCCCAGAGTGCAGAGCCCACTGCAGTTTGGGTTTGAGAGCCTTGAGGCAGAAGGTGCTAAACCAGAGACAGACAGCTATGAGCCTGAACTGGAGGTAGAAGTGCTTGACATGCAGAACCCACTTCCCCACACACACACTGCACTGCCTGCCAACCCTACTGATGACAACAGATCAGAGATTGCTGTTGAAGAGATGATTGGAGAGGCACACATGGCTGTCCTGAACCTCATGCTGATGCTGAAGGAAGCACTCACCAGTGACAATGCACAACAATGGCAGGAAGCCATATGCAAGGAGCTGGATGGGTTTGAGGCAATGGGAACATGGGAAATTGTGGACATGCTGCCAAGCACCAAACTTGTCAACTCCAAAATTGTCCTCTGCCTCAAGCTGGATGCTGATGGCATACCTGTTTGGCACAAAGCGAGACTTGTCACACAAGGTTTCACACAGCAGGAGGGTATCGACTTCAAAGAAACCTTTGCACCTGTGGCACCACTCATTGCAATAAGAGCCCTGTTGTCCTTGGCAGTGGAGTGCAACTGGGAAGTCCACCAGCTTGACATCACAATGGCTTACCTCAACTCCATGCTCAAACATGTGATTTACATGAAACCACCAGAGGGTGCTAAGGTGCCAAAAGGGAAAGCTTACCAAGTTGTCAAGGGACTATATGGCCTTAGACAATCAGGACAGGAATGGAACATGGAGTTTGATAAGTTCCTCCAGTGCTCAAATTTCCACAGGCTTGACTGTGTGCCATGCATCTACACCAGAGGATAGGGGGATGACTTTGCAATAGTGATCATCTACATTGATGATATGTTAATCATAGCCCCAAAGCTGGAAACAGTCAAGTGTATCAAGGAGGAAATAGGTAAGAAATGGAGGATGGAGGAGGGTGGCAACATATCCCATTTCCTCAGGATCAAGATCTCCAGAGATTGAGAAGCAAAGACCATGGACCTCAAGCAAACCAGCTACATCAAGCAACTACTGGATGAACACTTGGACAAGTGCAGAAGAAAGTCTAGCATACCACTTCAAGACATCCCAGTCCCAGAAACAGCAGCAAGCATAGCAGAGCAGAAGGAGTACCCACAGATTGTCAGCAAACTTCTGTGGCTCTCCAATGGAACACATCTGGACATCAGCCCAGCCATTGGTGTCCTTGCACACTACATGACACAGCCATCAAAGGAGCATTACAACACAGCACAGAAAGTACTCCAATACTTGGACCACACATGGGATGTCCATTTGCAATATGGCAGCAACAAGCAACAAGATTTCCTGACAGTGCATAGTGACACAAACTGGGCAAGTGACACTACAGTGCAGCATAAAAGCTCATCTGGCTCAGTGGTGTTTGTGTATGGAAATCTGGTAGCATGGAAGTCAGCACTACAGCACTGCACTGCCTTATCAGCAGTGGAAGCAGAATTTGTGGCTGCAACAGAAGCTGCACAGGAAGTCCTGTTCTTCAAACACCTCTTCAAGGCCATCAGAATTGATGTTGGTATCCCCACAATCTTTTCAGACAACACTGGCACCATTCAGGTTAGCAAGGACCCCACACAACATTGGAAGTTAAAGCACATTGACACCAAGTACAACTTCATCATAGATAACATGCAAGATGGAAAGGTTAAAATCAAGTACATTAACACTGCAGACAACTTGGGAGATGTCTTTACCAAACCAGTGGGGAAGGATGCATTACAGCATGTGTGACAGGGGCTAGGACTAACATCTCAGCAGTCTCCTGCCTTACTGCTGAGGGAGGCAATTGAGGGAGATGTAACAATGTAGGAATTCCAGCCAATGAAAATTTTTGCAGCAGTTCCACTCATGCGCAAGTGGCGAAAGACTTGGGGATCTCCGGACTTGAGCTTGTACTTAGACCATTATCATCACAGCAAAATCTCTAACACCGCAACTCCTTCTCTTTTCACACACGTTCAAAGTTTGCTTGGATTGCTGTCCTTTGACTCGACTCGACGTGGCGTTTTGCATGCTCAACACCGAGAACAATCACAGTTTGGCGTGCAGAAGAGGCGCTTCAGCTTTTGTGTCCATGGTCTCGTCAAGTGAGTGTGCATTGTTAATTCGAATTGAAGACAGAGGGACGTGAGCTTTCACCGGCTTAGCTCTCGAATTCGCGCCTTTGGAGCACCTTCGATGGCGAACCTCGCTTGTCGACGAGCGACAGGAGGATCTGCGCGGTCATCAAACTGCGTGTCATACCTCAAGCTCAAGTGAAGTTCAGACAGTCACGCAGAATAGGTCAGTGAGATGTAAAAGGTCGTATCTCGATTCAATGAGAAATCGACATATCGTACACAAGAACAACAGCCATGCTGGCTCGTAGATGCAAATGTAAGTGGAAAGCGCTATGTATGAATGATGACCAATGCTGTCAATCGCCTTCGCGCAACCTTGGAAGGAGCCGAATCAAGCTTCGTCTTTGAGACGATTGTCCGACTTCCTGTCATCCGGGTTCAAGAGCGAGTTGAAGCCGACGCGAAGGTTTGACGTCGTACTCGCATTCGTCTCGCTTCTCGGTCTCGGCCCAGTCTTCATGGTGACCGTCGTATCATCCTCGTCTTCACTTGACCTGCCGCCCAAAGGCGAGCGCTTGGTCGTCGAGTCGGTGTCTCGTCTGCGCTGACGAGAATCAGAACGTTCAGAACTGGCCTGCTCTTCCTCTTCCCGCAGTTCATCCTCTTCCTCTTCCTCCTCCTCCTCTTCTGATTCCGAGAGCCGACGCTCGCGCATCTGTATGAAGCGACGAGGTGATCCTTGCATCCCGTAATGTTCGGGAGGCGGGCCACGTTCATACTCGCGATAGCCTGGAGGCGGCATCTCTCCACGGCGTCTTTCGCTCCATGTGTTCATGCTGCGCGAGCCTGGCTCGTAAGCTGAACGCGAAAGAGGCGGGTGGTCCTTCATGTGCATGTGCATGTGCATTTGCATTTGCGGTGGCATTGGACCTCCAGGTGCCGGGTGCCCCATGCCGTAGCCAGGTCCATGTCCGTGTGCCTGCATAGGCCCTGGACCGGGAACAGGGCCGTAACCAGGATGCCAACCACCGCTGCCGACTCCCATCGGGCTCATTTTTGATCCGGAGGAAGGTGCAGGCGGATGTGGTCCACGAGCCCAGTATCCCTCATCGCCTCGACTAGGCCCAGGTCCTTGCTGCTGATGCTGACGAGGGGCGTCCATCTCGGACTGATCACCACCGGGTGCGTGACATTTCTGGTGACGCCTCAAGTTCGACTGAACGCTGAAGGATCTGCCACAGCCCGGTTCGTTGCAAACGAAAGGCTTTTCTCCCGTGTGAGAGTGATGATGAATCTTGAGACTCGAAGGCCGCGAGAAGCGCTTGCCGCACCATGCACACTCGTACTTGGCTTGGCCCGACGCGATGGTGCCAGTAGCGCTAGGAGCGGCACGAACGCCCCCGAAAGCACCTCCATGCTGTGCAGAGATGATACCGTCGGGCACGCTTGCTAGTCCCTGACCACGCATCATCTGCGCTTGGAAGGCATTGCGTTGCACTTCGGCAGAATCCGCAGGCATCGGTCGGCGTGGGAAGACCCAACCAGCACCACCAGGGCGAGGCGCATCCTCACCAGCACCGCGGCCTCTTCGAGGATGGAACGAATCGAACGTGCCTGAGCCAGGAGATGGTCCACCTCGTTCGTATGGAGGTCCACCCAGCCCCGGCGCAGACATTCCTGACGGGCCGTGGTGCATCATCTCCGGATCGTATGGTTCCTGCATCGACATCGAATAAGACTTGGGTCGGTGTCCTCGAACCGCACTGGCATTCTCGTAGAGTTCCATAGGAAGCGGAGCACGTTCTTGCATCGACATGCTGTGCTTGTGTCCATACATTCGACCACTGCCTCCCATGGCGTGAGGATCATCGCTTCTCTGCTGACCCATGCGGAGGAGCTCAGAAGCGGCCTCCAGTCGCTGCTTTCTTGCCGGATCATCCGAATTCGGCAAGGGTGCGATCGGACGATCCGAGTGAGTCAGAGTGCGAGCTCGAGGTCGGTGTGATGGTTGCGAGCCAGGCAAGTCGGCTGAGGCTCCTGGCGTGCGCAGGGATCGGTGGCGTGAGAGATTCGAGAAGTGCTGCTCTGGTGAGAAACGAGAAGGCTCGCCTGGTGGGTGATGCACTTCACGGAAAGGTGGCAAGAGCGAGCCGGAAGGTCGGTCGCTGCCCATCATTTTGTGTGCTGCTTCGCCTGATTCGAGCGTAGAGGATCGGCTGCGCCAGCTTGTTCGCGGGCTTGTGTTCTCAGATTGAGCGCTAGAAGCACCCCAGCCTTCATGCGGGACACTCTCCTCCGACGTGTGTGTTGAAGGAACGTAGCCAGGCGGAAGCATCGGTGCAGGGTCAGAGGCTGAAGAAAGATGCGAGAAAAGCGTCGACAGCGAACCCGATGAGGAAGACGTGGGACGATGCCCACTTCGCCGTTGCGATGCTGACGCCATATCGGATGCGAGGCAGTCTCCATCCAGCGGGAGCCTGCGCGATGGTGGTGAGAGGATGAGGCCCTTGAGAGCTTGTGCCTGACGAGATCTCGATTGCGAGTCAACTCGTCTTCGAGGTCCTGCGTCATCAGGGCTGAAGGAATGGTTCGAAAAGCCTGGGTGTCGTGGAGGTGTGCTGGGTACCATTGGTCCGCTGCGACCATACGAGCTTGATGCGTTGGAGGAATGGCGGGTTCGGATGGGCCCAAGAGAAGAGGAGCTCGAGCTGTGAGAAAGACCAGACTGGAACTCTGAGAAGCTGCTGGTGCTGGCATGACCACGGAGGCCGCGATGTTCCATGGCTTGTGAGGAGCTGCCCTGCTGCAAGTTGGTGGGCGAGCTAGGTGTTGCGGTGCCGTGGCCGTCATCGGAGGCACCGTCGAACCGTCGCAATGATGCAAGTGGTTCTGCCCGCTCAATGCCAAAGAGATTCTTAATGCTAGGGAGACTGGTTGAAGGCTCAAGGTCGCCGCTTGGAGTTGTGCACTTGGCTGTTGGCTCGGCGTCAATTTCCATATCGCGGTGCTCAGCAACTTCGCCAGACTCAGAGACTGAGTCGACGACGGAACGAGGTATAGAGGAAGCGCGCGCGGAGCCACTGACGCTGCTGGTGCTGCCGGCGCCGGGGAAGGGGATCCCGGCTCTCGCGCTGCTCGACCCCATGACTCTATATGTCGAGAGAATAATGCAAGATGGAGCTGGCCAGCCTTTCTGGCTCAGCAGGACAAGTTTGGGTCGGTATCAGCGATGAATTTTGCAGGGCGATGTCGATGCGAGTGATGCCCTGTTATAGCTACGTGGATTCGAAGAGTTGCCCGGTGAAAACGGATCAGAGCCAGTTGATGACGACGTCTGATCTGAAACGAGAAAAGGGCAGGCCTTGATTGTGGCCGCAGAGGCTCCGCACAGGAAGAGCTGGAAAACACCAAGTACGCCGTGTCTGATCAGGTGTGCTTGAAATTGCACCGTGACATTGGAGTTGCTCGATAAGACGTGGGTCGCTGAGAATAACAGGGGAAAGTGAGCTGAAGCTAGACTGCCAGCTTCAATTTGGCGCAGGGGTGAGATGAGAGTCAAGGAAGGCAAGACGAGGCTTCACAAGTAGCAGGTCGTTGTCGTGATGCAAACAGAAGCTGTATCTGCCAGGGCAGATGACGACAGATGATGGTGGCTGCCGAGAACAGCGGGTATCCTGATTGAAATGAATGCGAGGTCGCAGCAGGCTAGCTGAGAATGCAAAAGACCGAGAGCACGTTCGGTTGTTGGTGTGGGTGCGATTCGTGATCTGCCGTTTGTACGTCAAATATCGGTGTGACAGTTGTAGTGACACCGTGGGGCGCTGCGACGACGAGCGTGGGCAATTCGGAAGGCGAGATTCGACGATGAAGAGTTTGCTCTATTGTATCAGTCGGCACGGCTGTCGTGATCCAATGCAAGTGCTTCCAATCAAATGAAGGTCAAGATGCGGAACGATGGCGGGACTGCACAGCTGGTTGTCAGTGGCAAATAGTTGGAAGCTGAACGAGATTGAGTGGCTGACCGGCTGCTGGTTGATTGCGCGATCGATCGTTGTGACGAGATGAGATGAGGTGTGGGTGTATCGTATCCGGAATACTGAAGAGGTGAAGGAGAAGCACGACCCGCAATGTCGAAAGCGAGGCGGGGCTGCGATCGTGCAAGGGTGGAGGTGGGGAGGAGGTGGGTAGGTGTAAGATGAAGGTGAAGGAGTCGAGACGGAGGCGGTGTTGGAAGAGATCGTGTGCGTGTATGACAGAGATGGTGGGCACGGGAGGAGTAGCAGCAATGAGGAGAGGCAGGCAAGCAAACGATGGCGGATCACCAAGTGCGCAACAGAGCAACAGTGTTAGAGGCACAGAGAGTAAGGTGAGAGTGATCTACGCAATGAGGGTCCCGGTCAGCGATGCTCAAGGTGCAAGTGAAATAAATGGCTTGCGAGGTTGCAGAACGCAGTCTCGTCTCGTCTTTGATTTTGACATGACGACGCACACACGCGCCGGGGGCAAATAAATTAAAATTATTTTTTTGACAATCGGCACGGAGAGTGCAGCCAGACACCAAAGAAAAGAGGAGGAGAAGAGAAGAAATGGAAAAAGAATTGCATTGCCTATATCCCTCGCTCGCTTTGCAACTCGAGACCCAGGATCAACAATTCAAATGCAGAGAGACTCAGTTGCCGGGAGCAGATCCAGAAAGCCGTCGGTCCGTGTGGTGTTGCTTTGCAAATCAAATGCACCGCCTCACAGGCTCATTCTACCTCCACAAGGCAACTCTACACGATGCCCAAGCTGAAAATGGATCTCTATGTCTCAGCACACACAAACTCGACAAAAGTTTGCAGAACTCCTTGGAAGCGATGCTGCTGTCAGAAGTAGGGGGAGAGGAGGGCTGGACCTTGTGCAAGGGCTGCTGTTGCATGAATTTCACTCTCGCTCGACTTGGATATGGAAAAGCAAGCAAGCTAGCAGAAAGAGGGGAATGTTGATTGACGAAAAGGAAAAAGAAACCTAAAAAGGGACAACAGAGGGAGGGAGAGGAAGCGGTGTGAGGGTCTCGGATTTCCATGTTTGTCGATCCCGGGCTTCACTTAACGGCTTTGCTCTTCTGGGCTGGGCTTGGCTGAGCTGAGATGACTGGGGCGCTGACCGAGCTATGCGCCTGGTGGTGCAGCAGCTGTAAGTCGTAACAGTTGAAGCATGTGGTGTCTCAGCTATAGAAGCATGCAGATGCAGCCTTCGCCGAGCCCACACATCCAATCACCAACTTTGCTCACTCAGACTTAGTGCATTGTCTAGGCTGACTGCCAAACCTCAAGACACTGGTCACCAGACAGCTGGCATTCTCCTCCTTGACCTCTTAGTTATTTCCTCATGCTCCTGCCCTATCAGCTCTTAGTACCACACATGCATACAGAGAGGGCCAAGGCATATATAAACACTTGATTCACCATGTACTTAGAAATGATTCATTATCACAATCGACACTTGTGATCATTGACTTTGACACACCTTCGATTGATCTCGATGGTGCTCTTCAACTGTAACAATGGTGACTTGCAAAATGCATCACTGAACTTGCTGTTATTTCTGATCAAAAAAAAAAAAAAAAAAAAAAACGCAACGCAACGGAAAAGAAATTGCCTTTTTGAGCCTGAACCATTCCTTTACCATGAACAAGTAAGGTGGATTGTGGTCATTCAAATATCGTTATATGCAAAAGAACTTCAGCGGCGACATTGGGTCCACCACTCTGATGAAGTAGGGGCCCTACACGACGATGAACTCAGCACAAGAGGATGGGTGTCATCACCAAGGGGCAAGATGAAAGCAGGTGCGCCTCACCACTTGGATGAAGTGGGAGTGACCCTTGTCAATAATGAAACAGCATGAGGTCATCAGTGGTCGCACGCCTAGAACCTGAAATATGGGGTAAAGGTTGATTGAATCCAACCTTGGCGAAATCTGTCATAGAGGCCTTCTATTACTGTTCCTGCCAGAATCTATTGTAGAAGCCTTCTATACTCCTTTTTACTCAAATAGCTTGTAACTGAGAGTTATCACAGATTTTGACTAAACACTGTGAACACTCCATCCAGAGGTAGCTCGGCACAATCAATGTCCAGGTGGACTCTGTCAGCGGTCATGCGCCTGAAACCTGAGATCGGTAGTAGTGTCGATACTATTACAGATCCTGTCGAATTATGCAACAACACTAGTGGTATTTCGATTCTTGGTGAAATATGCAATAGAGCTGCCTCTATCACTTTTCTTGCTCGAATCTGTAGTTGTAGTAATGCTATTGCAGATTTCAACTAACTGCTGTGGACACTCCATCCAGAGGTAGCTCAGCATGATCAATATCAATATGTGAGTATGGTGACACCAAGGTCTGGTGTGAGTATCTTGTTGGTGATGTGATTGGTGGCATAAACACAAGTGTCCAGTGTGTCAACTATTGCTTGAGGTGATCCCCAGACTGCAGTGGACTACTGCCTTCGGTTCTATCTTTATCCAGACTGCTGGTCTGCTATGAACTGCCTTTGGACATCAGTGAGCAGTGATACAACACATGCACTACAATGAGAGGCAATCTACTTGATTGTGACTATGCTGACTGAAACTAATATGTACTTATGCTTGAAGTATTTAACTAGTTGATATGGTGTAGAGTGGATGAGGATCCACTCGACCACTTATGATGAGATGGCATGGTCTATATATCCTTGCAGCATTGCCTGCGACTCGTTCCCTGGCCCCCCTCCCTCCAGAGGGCACCATCCTTGTGAGACTGCCTTCAGTGTTGATCAATATCCAGACCACAGCATAGTACTGCCTTCGGATGGTGTCAAGTGGTGATACAACACAGGCACTATGGTAGTAGCAATGCTTTGCAATTGCTATTGGTTACAAATCTACTAAATATACTTATTGTGAAGTTATAGCTAGTAATGTAAGGTGGAGAGTGGATGAGGATCCACTCAACTACTATGACAAGGAGCATGGTTATATAACCATTCCCGCAATGTCACCTGTGACACTGCTCCTGCTCTGGGAGGCCTCTTCAACACTGCTCCTCCTCCTCATCCTTCCTATCCTTTCTATCCACCTTGCAATGCTGCTCATTGGCACCGCTTCCCTCGCTTCCTGCTGATGGATGGTCCTCCTGCTGCTTCATCTTGACAGGGGCATTCCCACTTCATCTGAGTGGCAACTCACACCCCTTGTTCATCTTATGCATCCTTATGCTCCGAGTTCATCATTGAGTCATCCCCCCTGCTTCATCAGGGTGGCAGACCTGGTGTCCTCAACATCTGTCCTGCTGTGGGATCTGTGGATTTGGCACCTCTTGCACCAGCTTCTGCAAGATCCATCATACAATCATGATACTACAGATTCCAGTGGGATTTGTTGTACAATCCTGCTTGTGCCAATTCAGGCAAGATCTGTTGTAGAGCCCCTCTACTACAGACCTTCTTGATGAACTCTGCTGTAACCCTTGTTTTTGCTCAATCCTGCGATTCCTGCACTGCTCCTCATATGACATCTATTCTTCCTGCTTCTGCACATCCGGCCCTATGACATCCGGCTCTCTTGATCATTAGGGTTACCACTCAGAGGGACGTACTCACCGCCACATAAAGCCAGCGACAGGGGCAACCACATGACCAGGGAGCATGACAATAGGGTTTGGCACACAATCAAGCGATTCACAAGATAGGGGATGAAAAGATGGTCACCAGTTAAGAAAGGGAGACCTGTGTTAAGGAGACCAGGGTTTATCCATAAGGAGGAGGAGCAGTGTCATAGAGATTGACACACATTGTCAGGCATAGAAGAGCATGGAGGCTAAGAAGCAGTGTTGAACAAACCAACACACTGTCCAGGCAGCAGAAGAGCAGCACTGAAGGAGCTGACACACAGCTCAAGGAAAGAAGAGTAGTGTTGGAAAGGGGCAATAACCCCTTCTGAAGGAGCAAGAGAAGTGTCACAGGCAACACTGAACAAACACATAAATACTTTCATTTCACCATAGAGTATATGAGTGGATCCTCATCCACTCTACTCTATATCTTACTCACTCTTTACTTGACTCTTAGTTATGTATCATTGCAATAGCAGGGCTTTGCAACAACATCTCAAACATGT